ATATGCCCATGCTGAGGCAACATGAACCCTCAAACCAGGAATATAATCAAAGTTACAACCAAAGGTTAATGAAAACTAATTCATTTTCCCCTTCCAAAAAAAATGATCGATCAATAGGACATTCAAAACCAAGGATCACATATGTTTCCATTGCAAAACAGAATAAGCAGCATCATATGGAAGTTGTATGGACAAAGAAAAGGAATGCATCTCTAATGTATGACATGCAAAAAAATAACAGTAGGAAAATTAATAAAGTTTCTCTCATAGGAACAGGCATCAAGCTTACCCTTAACAAATTCTGGAGTCATCACCACATCATTTTCTTAATTACTGACTAATCTTCCCTTAATTCTTTTCTCAATCAATCCAAAACTAATGATCAATCTATAATTTTATTCATACTAAGAAATTAGTAATAAACTTGAAGTTACTAAGGAAGAGGACGGTGAAGAGAAAGTCCCTGGCTCTAGAATTTTGTTCAAAACAATTCAAAATGAGCGTTCTCCAGAATTGAAAATAACCACACATAGACACATAGATACACACCGTTGGGCCAACTAACAAAGAGGTTCCAGAATCAGCAATTGCTGAACAGCCACCGGCACAAAATCCTGAAATAGGTATGCTAAAGTCAGAATGGAAGTTGATAAAATTGTACTAAACAAGATACCATGTGTAAGAAAAAGGAAAGAAAACGTAACAATTTTTCGCTTACCAGTTGTTTTACCATCAATCATAACATCACCCATGTCAAACTGCCAACAAGAGCAACAGTGTACACAATATTATAAATTTTTCATGAGCACATACGTAATTATGGATTTTCATAGAGCAATGAATGTTCAGAATACCAACCTGCCAATAGCCTTTCTGTGTAACAGGAACGTAAGTGTGCTCTCCCTTATAATGATTAGGATCCACTCCACCAAATACAATTTCACCTCCTTCTTCTTCATCAGCATTACGATTAAACCAGAATGAGAAAACTGGTTCCTTCAGGAGACCCTGATTGACCATGTTGTACCTGCAGAATTCCTAAAATTAGAACCATCGGAAGATGAACTCTCTGAAGTTCCTATTGATAGAATACACAACCTATAAGACTCAAACCAAGCAGGAACTCATAATCTCATAATAACAAAACAGAAGAAAAAAAAATTACCACACAGGTACAGCATTTCCAACTGATATCTCTTGAAATCCAAGTCCAAGTATGCCATCAAATTTGGCTACCAAAAATGTGACTCCAGGCTCCTTGGTTGCCTCAATAAATTCCTGAAACAAACTATCTGTATTATTGAAGGCAAACTACCAACAAGAAGCATAATTTGTATGACCTAGATGTTAAACTTACCTGATCTTTGACCACGAGATCACCAATAGTTACATGGTCTTCACTGAAGAACCCAGAAATAGCTCCAGTTCCATAGTGGATTGCTGCAGGCTTACCTGCACAATGGAGGAAACCAGAATATCCTCTCTTGTCATCAATGGAAATGCTACTCCAACGGATACATGAATATGCACACGCACTAAAAAGGTAAAATGATATAAACAATCATAAAGACAGAAACACACCATTTTTGTTGTAGGTGCTCGAACTGCTTGACTTGTATTTTGGGTGTAAATAGCAGGCAATCTGCACTCATACACAAAATAGTTAAATTGTCTCTATCTAACAACATGAAGAGATGCAATTCAATTATAAATACCATATAAATAATAGAGAAATTAAAGAAAAGAAACTCACCGAGAAATAACACTTAGCCGAAGGAACCCACAAATTTGAACTACCAGTATCAAATATCACAGTGAACTTCTGAGGGGGAGTGCCAATACCAATCTCACCAAAGTATTGAGCATCCATGTAATTCTTGAGAGATACAATATCAATGTCCTGGGAATCAGCCAAATTTCCACGCAGACGATATTTAAGGAGAGAAGCTCTCAGAGCCTCTCCTTCCTTGGATTCAATCTGGGCAGCAACCCGGTTATTTTGATCAAATTTCCTCTTCTTGAGCCCAACCCGGACCAACCCATCATTGGATTCAGAAAAAACCAACGGAAACAAGAGGAAGCACAGAAAGAACGTCGCTGTAACTGACTTAAGTTTGGTTTCCATGTTAACTGCATGCAGAAGAATCCATTTTCTTAATTGGAGCATAAAAGAAAAAACTCATCAAAATCATTAAACTTATAATCGGAATAGTACTCCACCACAGTGACAGTTGAGTTTCCACACACACACACAGAGCACCGATAATCATAAATACATACACATGCACTGAACTCTTAAACGTATCTTCAAGCAAGTATATATTATAATTCTGAAAATTAATCAGACATACACCAAAAAAGTCAACCAGAAAAAAAAATTCTTGGGCTGAAGCAGATCGGCACCGAATAACACTAGCACTTTCCTCTTCAATTTCTTTCTCTAACCACTGTTTGTTTCCCAGGAAAATGCATAGAAAACACAGATAAAAAAGGGGGCAAAATCATAGTTCCAAATATTCAGGCCAGCTCAACTAACTAAGCCGATTATCCTAATCAAACATATAAATTAAATTACAAAGACTATGCATAGCATAAATTCTATAGGGTTCCAAAGTTCACAAGAACAAATTATAACGGAAAAAAAAGCCCCAAAAACAATCTAAGATACCTGTCAATCAAAAACAATCGGAGCTCTGGTTGAGACGAAGCTAGGGCTTCGGATTGAAAGCCAAAGAAATAAATTGACAATAACAATAAGAAAAATAAAATTGAAAAGTAGAAAAGATGAAAATGACTCACAGTAGGCAGGAAGACGATGAATATAGAAATGCGTGTTTCCCAACTAACTGCTACGAAGCCAGATATTTATATATCGCTTTGGTTTCCAAAGCGGACAACTTTCGATCCTTGCCGCACACGTGTACTTGATGACTGATCAATACTATCCAAAAAATAGAATTTATATTCTTTGCGTACAGAAGGAGGATAGAGAGATGAGCTGTGCTGTTGTGCGGTTAAAATAAGCACTTTTAGTAAAAGCGCTTTTATTATAGAAATTTGTTATGTACTTATTTAAAAAGTGCTTCTATGACCCAAAAATACTTTCAAAATTTTCTGCTAAACGCTGTTAAAAGTATCTTTAACCCTGTCAAAAACACTCCAAACGGGGTAAAGAAATTATAAATCTCAATCTCACCCTTAATTGTAACAATTTTCCGATGAATTCGTATGCCTATATTTTTGTTTTTTTAATACAATAAATTCGTATGTTTTCATGTCATTTTATTGTTTTGTTTCATTGTTTTTGTCTATTAGGGGCATATATTATGCGTAAATCAAGTTACATAAACCACAATACCTCATCGCTGTCATGTAAAAACAGGATTTCGTTGTAAATTAGTCCAAATTTAGGTCACATTATGCAATTTATTAGGAAATCCTGAATTAGATTTCGTTTTAAATCCTGGATTAGTCCAAATTAATTGAATTCAAGTTATACAAATCATAGGCATTTGTTTAAGGTCAAAGAATAGAAAACTTGCCAGCAACAAGCAGCTCAAATTTTCTTGAAAATAAATAGCTGAGGGTAATAACATTGAAGAATTAAAGATTGATCTTCAAAGAACCGAAGTTGTGCAGGTGTAAGAAGCTTGGACAAGGGGACAATCAACGAAGAGGTGGTCTCTATAGGTTTCCAGTTTCTTAGGGAAAAAACACAAGAAGAGTATAAGGAGGTATTAAAATGGAATAAGCGGTATTTAGTTCATCTACAAAGCAACAAAGAAACAAGGGCTTGTAGCTCAAATAGTTAAGAATATTTACTCCTACACTCGTTGTCCAAAATTTGATTACGTTCACGCCCCAATATTGCTTGAAAGTATTTTCTTACTATTACTCGCAGTCCATCTAATCTTTTTTAAGCAGGAATCAATAGAGTTGAACAAAGAGTATTGATTTAAGTCGCTGCTACTAAAAAAGTCTCAAAGGGCATGGATATATATAGGCGTGCTCTGTGTATCCATAGCAATGGCAGATTAACTAATGTCTTAAGGAATTGTTTTGAAGTGATAGCTATAGCTGACCAAATTCTAATGATAAAAAGAGGTGCTATAGCAGTAGCTAGTTTACTTGCCTACTACTTATATCTTGGATGTATCATGAGAACCGGAGATACATAAATTAAATGAGGGTCACATATGAAAGTTGCGAAAACCTCTCTATCCATATCACAAATGGTCCATTAGGTTTACGAACTTGTCACGAATAGTCATTGAGTTTTTTTTTATATGACATTAATAGTCTTTAACGTTAGGGCTTTTTATCACAAATGGTCTTGCCGTTACAAATTATGTTAAGTGTGATGTGGAAGATAAGTAGAGCTCACATGTCCAATCACATTGTGACATGTGGATTAAATAAATAAATTTTTTTTTAATGAACATCCATTTTTTTTTCTACAACTTCTCATCCCCCTCTGCCCTCTCTCCACCCTATACCTAACAGGACTTGAACTGAATTCCCCCTCTAAATTCGTGTCAAACCTTGTTACCTATCCGGCATCCAACCAATGCTGGACTCACCTACTATTTTACTCTCTTCCCCTCATTCATAAAGATAAAAGGATCAAGATGGCCACCAAAATTTCGGCAAAGTCTCCCCTAAAAAATTGACATTTACCAAATTATTTTCACCTGTAAATATCACAGTTTAATATTTCCAAACTTCAGCATGCACAATACTAACACATAGAGTTTATGTAGAAATTAAAGGAAAAAGAAACACAGTGTGTAACGTGGTTCAGCTTAGTTTGTCACATCCATTGTAGAAGAAGGAAGAAACTCTTATTCATCATAAACAGAGAATTAGCTTCTCTGTTACATAAAGAGCACTCACATTAGGTACCAAGCTACACTCATGAGGAGCCCAAGACAACTAACTCTACTCAGCCAACATAATAATAAATGAAGGAAATAACTCTGTACATATTCCAATACTCCCCCTCAAGCTGATGCGAAAATGTTAATGGAGCCAAGCTTGGAGAGAAACTCTTGAAACTGAGATGAGGACAAGCCTTTGGTAAAAATGTCTGCCAACTGCTCATTACTTCTAACAAACACCTTTTGAATGACATTTGATTGAACCTTTTCACGAACAAAGTGACAGTCAACTTCAATATGTTTGGTCCTTTCATGGAACACAGGATTAGAGGCAATATGCATAGCAGCTTCGTTATCACAGAATAATTCCATGGGCTGAGAAATAACAAACCCAAAGTCTTTAAGCAAAGATTGAAGCCAAATTAACTCACTGGTAGTAGATGCCATAGCTCTATATTCAGCTTCAGCACTTGATAGAGCAATAACATTTTGTTTTTTACTCTTCCAAGTCACTAACTTGCCTCCGACAAAGATACAATACCCGGTAGTGGATTTTCTATCTATTGGACATCCTGCCCAATCAGCATTGCTATAACCAACAATCTGACTACGTCCATTCTTTTTCATCAAAATACCACGTCCTGGACAGCTCTTCAAATACCTTAGAATTCTATTTACTGTCGTGAGATGACTTGTCCTTGGAGCGTGCATAAACTGACTTACTAAGCTAACATCATAGGTTATATCAGGACAAGTGATGGTAAGGTAAATGTGTAACACCCCGACCCCAAATTTATCCCATGTTTTAATTTATTTAAGTGGAATTGAGAAATTACCCGTGGGATAGGGGTATTTTAGTCATTTTCTTATCCGGAAGGAATTTGGGAATTCTGGAGGTACCGTTGCGTAGAGCACGGCGAGATGAGTTCGTAGACACGTAGTGGGCTCGAATCGGAGTTGTAACGAGAGAGATACGATCTAAATACCTTCAATGGCAAAACCGTAAATATTTTGAAATGGAATTTTGGTTAAAAGACGGAATTGCCCCCGTCTCTCTCACTCTCTCTCTCCCGCGCGTCCCTCTCTCTCTCTCCTCTGGTTCGCGACGGCTGAAACAGTCGGCCACGTTTTGGCCGGCCGTGCTCTCGTCCGGCCACCAAAGTTGACGGGGCCGGTACCAAAATGACCGGACTGCCGTCCTCTTCCTACCCCGGCCAGGTCCCGTCGCCAGCCGCCATGATTTCGCCGGAAAACAAGGAGAAAAGCTCCGGTTTTGACAGAAACTTCGCCGGCTTCGTTCTCCGTCGTCTGGCCACCGATTCCGGCAAGTGAGGTATGGTTTCTCACCTATTTTCTGAGCTCTAGCTGCCTGTTGGGTAGGAATTGATCAATTTGTAGCGTAAGTAGCTCGATTTACGAATTGGGTTTCGGCCGGATTTCGAGGGGAGATTCCGGCCACTTTTGGTCAGATTTTGGGGTACATCCAAGAACAAAAGTGACTCCAAATAAGGTGTTTTACCTAGGGTAGGAGTCTTGAGCCGTGATTTGTGGTTTTTCCGGTGATGGGTTATCGCTTTGGACACTCACGCGCTGCCGACGCGTGTGGCGGCGCGTGGGCACTGTAGCTGAGGGGCATTTTTGTCCCATTGCGATCCTCTCGATGTCACGAGCGCGTAGGTATGCTCGGATCTCATTTTGGATACCGTTAGAGTCCCGAACGGATATCGCATATCGCGTATTTTCCGGGTTCGCTAGGTTTGGACCGTTGGATGGTCCTGGAGTTATAATATGTTGATCTAAGTATTACCAGGATCGTATAGGATTCGACGGATCGTAAAACGGAGTCCCGAATACTCCGGAAATGCCAACCCTGGGGTTAGGGTTTTAGTAACCGTCCGATTGTGCGATCGTGAGCAATCCGACCGTCCGATCTGGACCAAACTTGCAGGACATGTGTCCTAGAGCCTGTAGAACCTATAGGAACTTTCGGATTGGAATTTGGAGGTTGTGGGCCCCGCAGGCCCGTTTGACCCTAGGTTGACCGTGAGACTCCCGAGATAGTCTTACCTTTCCTTGATGGTTAGGATGACCTTAGTGACAGGTCTTGAGCGTTGTTGAGTTAAATGGATATTGTGGGTTTAGGATATAAATTGGTGAATTTATATGTGGGAGTTTATGGAATGTTTTATTGGTTGATGTTATTGTATGATTAGAAATTATATGATATATTTAATTAATTGTGTGGATGTAAAATGATATATAAGGAGATTGAATATTAGTTTACAGTGCTATATGCACTACCCCACGTACCCCTCATATTGTGATTATGCTCAGGCTCAAGTGATAGTAAGATGGCTGGTGAGAATGTAGCCAGGCCTAAGTGACAGTATGATGGCTGGTGAGAATGTAGCCAGGCCCAAGTGATAGTATGATGGCTGGTGAGAATGTAGCCAGGCCCAGTGTGAGGTCGCACGCGTCTTTGGATTAGCCGGCGTGTTGACAGACCCCATACGTGGCCGGGCGCGTCCCGACGTATGAGGGGAGATATGATTGTGTGAGGGCTGGTGAGAATGTAGCCAGGCCTAGTGTGAGGTCGCACGCGTCTTTGGATTAGCCGGCGTGTTGACAGACCCCATACGTGGCCGGGTGCGTCCCGACGTATGAGGGGAGATATGATTGTGTGATGGCTGGTGAGAATGTAGCCAGGCCCAGTGTGAGGTCGCACGCGTCTTTGGATTAGCCGGCGTGTTGACAGACCCTATACGTGGCCGGGTGCGTCCCGACGTATGAGGGGAGATATGATTGTGTGATGGCTGGTGAGAATGTAGCTAGGCCCAGTGTGAGGTCGCACGCGTCTTTGGATTAGCCGGCGTGTTGACAGACCCTATACGTGGCCGGGTGCGTCCCGACGTATGAGGGGAGCTATGTGATTGTGTTTGGTGTGTTGTGATGGATAAACCCGAGAATGTATGAATTTATATGGATGTAATGGTTTATTTGATATTAGGAGCCAGGATTGATAGGAAAGAGCTACGTGTGGCTTGATCCCTTAGTAGGGTACGTAGGCAGCCTGGGATAGCGCCTAGGTGCAGCCACGACCTAGACACCACTTAGGTGGTTTTATCGAGTATGATGCGGACCTCGTGGTTGGTCCCGAAACTTGGTTGAATTGAGGCTTGTCCGGTGGACTGAGTGAGCGAAGGTGTGCATAGATAGATTTTGAATTGGTTATGTGCATGTTTGATGCATTAAGTTATTTTGAAAACAGTGTGGGCAGTTCTGCTAGAATCATTTGAAGGCCGGAGGCCATTTATGTAAATTGCATGAGATTATATTGTGCGTGCTGCTGGTTGGGTTATAAAATGTGTTTTATGCAGGTGGAAATTTTGGGGAAGGTTCAATTTACAGGGGAGACTGCCGAAATTTTGGCAGAAAGTCTTGTACCCTAAATCCTCTCTGGTAAAGGAGGACATAGTTTTAAGGAGTGAACCCGGCGTTGGTGTGATGCCGGGGTCTCCGCAGGGTTTGTCTCGGGTTCTGGGAAATTCGGGGCGGGTCCTGTCAAAATGAGTTTTCCAACTAGCCGTTGATACTGTCCAACATCTTATAACAATTCCCCATCCAAACTAAGTTTCTCCTTGCTGTTAACTGGATTTTCAGTAGGTTTGGCACCTAGCATCCCTGTTTCTTGAAGAAGATCCAACACATACTTTCTTTGGTTAAGAAACATACCCTTTTTTGATAAAGCAATTTCGATTCCAAGGAAGTATTTCAATGCTCCTAATTCCTTGATGGCAAAATTTTTAGAGAGAAAGAACTTTAGTTTAGAGATTTCAGCATTATTGCTCCCTGTGATTATTAAATCATCAACATATATTAGGACAACAAGCTTTCCAAAGGATCCATCCTTAATAAATAGAGAAGAATCTGCATTGCTCCTCTTAAAACCAGTAGCTTTGAGAACTTAACTAAGTTTTGAATACCAAGCTCTTGGTGACTGTTTAAGTCCATAGAGAGCTTTATTTAACTTGCATACAAATCCTTCTTGATTTTCTTGAGGATGTCCTGGAGGAATGTTCATGTAGACTTCTTCTTTTAAGTCCCCATGCAAAAAAGCATTTTTGACATCCATTTGATATAGGGGCCAATCGTAGTTCACAGCAATAGACAAAAGAACTCTTATCGTGTTCATCTTTGCAACCGGTGCGAAAGTCTCTTTGTAGTCTACCCCATAAGTTTGAGTAAATCCTTTAGCAACTAGCCTCGCCTTATGTCTCTCAATTGATCCATCACTTCTGAACTTAATTTTGTAAACCCATTTACAACCAACGGGCTTTTTTCCTTCTGGCAGCTTGACTATAGTCCAAGTGTTGTTTTCATCAAGAGCTTGAATCTCTTCTTCCATTGCTTTTCTCCAAACAAATTTAGATTTTGCTTCTTGAAAGCATGTAGGTTCTGATATCTTTGAGATCTTGCTTAAAAAGGCTGAATGTGATCTAGACACTTTATCATAAGATATATACTTCTGAATTGGGTACCTATATGTGTGATAGGTGACAAAATCTTGAAACTTGGTCGGCTTGTTTTTATTCTGCATAATCTTTGTAATGTGCCATTGGAAGAAATTATTGAATCAATGATAGCATGAGAATGTTCACCATTAAAAACAGATTCCTCATTTTGAGGTGAAATATCATTGTCTCCAGCCAAATTATGTGAGAGAGAATTTCTCGAATCAGCACCATCTCCATCCGTATTTGATGGATAACATCCTTCAGTTGTGTCAACAATTAGTAAAGGAACTTGATCAAATGGATTCTTCCTCTGAGAGTCAGCCCCTAATTTCTCCTTAAAGAAAGCTTCTGTTTCAACAAATTGAACATCACGAGAAATAACCATTTTCCTTGCTTTAGGATCATAACATTTATACCCTTTTTGTGTTGAAGAATATCCAAGGAAAGCACTTCTTGTAGCTCGAGGATCAAATTTATCTCGTTGAGTAGCTTGAACATGAACAAAACATAAGCACCCAAACACTCGTAGATGAGAAAGATCAATTTTTCGATTCTTGAGAATTTCAAGTGGCGACTTGGAGCCAAGAATACGGCTGGGAAGTCTATTTATCAAGTATGCAGCAGTAAGAACTACTTGTGACCATAACTTTTTGGGAACATTCATTTGAAACATGAGAGATCTGGTTTTCTCAAGAAGATCCCGATTTTTCCTCTCGGCTACTCCATTTTGTTGAGGAGTACCAACACAACTCGTCTCATGAATGATGCCTTCACCAGTCAAGAATTCTGACATAGAACTTGTCATAAACTCTGTACCATTGTCAGATCGCAACACCTTAATTTGAGAATTGAATTGATTCACAATCAGTTTATGAAAATCTTTAAAGCACGAAACAACTTCCTTTTTTGATTTTAACAAGTATAACCATATGGCTCTGGAAAGATCATCAACAAATGTGACAAAATACTTATAACCATCATGTGATTCTATAGGAGCACCCCATAAGTCAGAGTGAATAAGCTCAAATGGTTTATCAACTTTAGATAACGAAGAAGCAAAAGGCTTACGAGTTTGTTTAGAAAATTGACAAACTTCACATACATTAGAGTCCATAACAAAGGAAGGAAACAAGCATGACAACACCTGATTAGAAGGATGCCCCAGGCATTGATGCCACAACAAACTATTTTGGGGAGAGTTGACTTGAAAAGCTCTTGAATTATCTAGAGGTTGATGCAAGAGATATAAGCCATTGGAATAAACTCCCTCACCAATCGTCTTCCTGGTGATTCGGTCATGAAAAATCACAGAATGAGGAGAGAAAATTGCATCATAGTTTAAGGAATTAGTTAACTTCCCTACTGATAACAGTTGAATAGGGAAAGAGGGAACATAGAGGGTAGTAGATTTAACTTCTGAGTTGAAGAAATTGATTTCCCCATGTCTAAGGACAGGTATAGAAGTTCAATTTGCTATCGAAACTGATTGAATTTTTTCTGGAATTTGAAGATTAAAAAGACAATTTTTATTGTTTGTCATGTGGTCTGTAGCTCAAGTATCTACAACCCAAATACTTGATAAGCAATTATAAGATAAGGCAGATAGAAAAGCTTGGAAGATATGTGATGCAAGTGATGCATTTTCTAATTTACCAAACTGTTGAAGCAATTTAGTAAGCTCACCAAACAGGGTAGGAGAATTTAAAGAAGCATGATTTGCATAAGTCTCCTTAGAGGTGACTTGACTCAAATTAGAACCTGGTGCATTCTTTGAGAAAACACCATTTCCATAGTCATTGGTGGAGCTCACATTTTTGGCAGCAGAACCATGTGCAGACTTAGCATTCTTTTCATTTCTTGGTTTCAAATGTGGATGGAGGATCCAACAGGTTTCCCTGATATGTCGACGTTGTCTACAATAGTCACAGATAGCAGAACTTTTCTTTCCTCTGAAATTCATTTTTGTTCTCCTATTGTCAACAACAACAAAAAAACTGAGATCTTGTTGAAGCTTTTATCAGTAAGACTCCTGCTCTGATACCATGTACAAATTAAAGGAAAAAGAAACACAGTGTGTAATGTGGTTCAACTTGGTTTGTTTGCATCCATCGTAGAAGAAGGAAGAAACTCTTATTCATCATAAATAGAGAATTAGCTTCTCTGTTACATAAAGAGCACTCATACAACCGTCAACTGAAAACAATTAATGCACACATCAGGTACCAAGTAACACTCATGAGGAGCCCAAGACAACTAACTCCACTCAGCCAACATAATAATAAATGTAGGAAATAACTCTGTACATATTCCAATAGTTTACCAGATAGGCCTCTAGCCTAAAATTCAACCTTATCAGGGCAATATCAATGTAATCTACGAATTTGTTTCTTACTTTATAAATAGCCACAAATTCCAAATGGTGTATGTAGTGCTCGTAGCGAGAAGTCGTGAGACAATAAGCTCTTGATACCATGTAAAACATTAAACATAGCAAAGAATAGTTTTGGCTTGATGATCCATCAAAGTGATGGAGCATGATATTTATAATCAACTTCACACATATAACAATAACAGAGATAAGAGAGAAGTCTCATTTAGAGTTAGACATTTGAAATACAAAACAAACGATCATGCATTTAAATTTGAACTGATTTTGAATTTGAAATTGAAGATAGCCTTTGGCTAACATATCCCTTACCTTGCAATTCTAATATATTAAACAATTGCATCTAAAGTAGGCAAGGCCAATGACAATGGAGTCATCGACAATATCACTAACTTAAGTATCTACATCTTAAACAGTTGATTCTTAACATTGGGCAACGACAACAGTTGCTCAAATTTCTCAGTTTGATGCCTTAAGGCATTTGGATGAGTCTGTTAACAGAGTGGAGGTTACTGAGGGTGGTTTGGATGGTAATACTAGTCATGAACAAGTTGATTCTTTTGGCTTGGCTACAGGTATTTGGAAGAAAGGTTGGAACAAAATCTAAGGTGAATGCTAAGGGGTCTAGAATTTCTCTTAATGATATTTCTACGAACAATCTTAAGGAGAATATAAATAAGAATGTTGTGTGTCAAAAGGCGATTGTTCCTCCTAAGATTAATTATGAGGAGTTAACTGCTAAGGGTAAAGCTGTGATTGGTGGAAAGCTCGTTGTTAACAAGGTTTCTGTCAATGAACAATTAGCTAATTGGGTGAATGCGCAAAAGCTGTATAATGAGAAATCGGTCTATATATATTTTTGGTCACCAACCACCTAACATAAATGATTTTGGTGTTGAACATGATGAGGATTGTGGCACTGATGATATTGATTCTTTAGCTTCTTTTGCTATTGATGGGGTGTTTACCGATGACAAGATGGACCTTGTTGAAGGTAAAATGAGTTGTTCCAATGGGAATTTAGCCAAGTAATGCCTTCAGTATTGTTGAAGGTATGAATTTTAGTCTTTAAGGGTTATCCTTGAGGTGACTTTTCATTGCTTGCTATATTTATGAATATTTAATGTTGGAATGCTAGAGGTGTTGCAAGCACCAAGTTCATAAGTAATATGCTGGATTTAATTTGTTCGTAGCATTTGGATATTGTTTTTGTTTGTGAGCCTGGGATTAGTGGCGTGAAAGCTAGCTCTATTGTGAGAGATCCTTGAGTTTGCCTTGTTTTAAGATTGTAGACCCTGTGGGTTTTTTTGGATGGTTGTGATTGTTATGGATTGATCAGAAAGTGCATGTGGAAATTATTGGTACTTATGATCAAGTGGTTACTGCATGTGTGTCTTGGCCTGGTACGGATCCTTGGTTGTTCTCTGTGGTTTATGCTAAAGTCTTGTGGGGTTAAAAGTGAGAAATTGTGGGAGTAATTAAGTTTTGTGGTTGATTGCCATTTTTTACCTTGGCTGATTGCGGGAGATTTTAATGAAATGTTACAAATTGAAGATAAAATTGAAGAGGTGGCTGCTTATAGGCTTAAGGGTTTTAAGAAGTGGTTTCATGATCATTCTATGGTAGATTTGGGTTTCTCATGACCTTAATTTACTTGGCATAATAAGAGGACTTATGAGAGAGTTGACAGAGCTATGTGTAATTTGGCTTGGAGAGCTCAGTTTGCAGAGGCCAATGTGAAGCATTTGGGGGAAGTACTTGGGAATGCATTTATTGCATAATATAGCCAACAAATTTAATTTCACAAGTTTGATGGATAAAGTGCATAAAAGATTGTTATCTTGGAAAAGTAAAATGCTTTCCTATGCTAGTAGAGCTACTTTGGTGTAATGATACTCCTTTGTTGCAGCAGAAAAATCTTGATGGCATTGAGGATGTTAATTGTAATGTTTCTTCTTTTTCTAAGCATGCTTGGTGGGATATTGAAAAGCTTAGAGGTGTTTTAAGTGATGAGTTTATTCAACACATTATTAATGTGCCAGTAGGGTGCTAGATGCTCAAGTTTGGAAGCCATCTGCTAATGGTATCTTTATAGTCAAGTCTGCTTATCATTTACTTTTTCTAGGTGAGGATTAGGTTTATCCTTTTTGGAAGATTTTGTGGAAGTTGAAGATCCATCATAAACTGCAGATTTTTCTTTGGTTAGGTTACCAAGGTAAGGTGCTTTTCAATGACGAAAGAGCTAAGAGACATTTAACTATTGGTGCTTCTTGTAAGTCATGTGGTTGAGTTTTGGGCAGCTAGGAAGAAGTTTGGCGATGATGGAGATAGCTGCCCAAAGCCGAAGCAATTCTGATCCCATTTCATATGTGCAGTTCAATTTTGAAACTTGATTGCTATAGGTGAAAAGAGGAAATTTATAGAGTGTGGTAATCTATATATTTGTAATACCCACATTTTGTGGACTTTGTTTTTTATTTTTATTTTATATAAAATTAGTTTGTTTAGTTTAATATTAACAATTATGTAATATCTTAGCTTCATATTCTTTGGGACTACCCTAGAGGTATGGAGCTCGTTGTTTGTTTTTACCTGCTGGTACATTTGGAAGTGGAGAAACCAACATGTCTTTAATGATGATGAGGAGTTGCCTATGTCTTTTCAGAGAATTGTTTTAGCTGTTGTTAAGGTTCAAGCTGATGGGGCTATTAGGCAGAAAACTCATAAAGTACAAGTACTATTTGCTTGGGAACCACCAGCGTGGTTACTTTAAATTGAATGTGGACGAAACCAGGAAAGCTGCTTTTGGTTTGATTGGTTCTGGAGGTGTGCTCTTTGGGGGATTGGTGTAGAGGGCAGGGCGGATCCACGTTGGGAGGAGGGGTCGCACTCCTTGGAATGCTGAAAATATGGCTGTGAACTTCAAGAGCGACCCCTTGGACAGCAACAAAGCGATCCTTTTTGTGCACACAAGGTGTTCGATGAAAGTCCCCTGTGGGGGTTTTCCTTGTCCTGCACGTGAGTCTTTTTTTAAAAATTTTAAAAGAGCCCTGGCCAAACGACGTCGTTTGGTCCAGAGCTATTCAAATTTTTTTGATTAACTTGGCCTCGAAACTACGTTGTTTTGGGCCATATTTATAAAAAATAAAAAATAAAAAATCATCCCTCCTTCCTTCTCCCCCCCCCCCTCCCTTTACCTGACTACAACAAAACCCCAAACCTTTTCTCATTCTCAAATCAATATCTCACCCTCCCAAACCCTAAGAGCCCCAAACCTCCCAACCTCCTCACCAGTGCTGACCATCACCACCTTGTGCTGCCGCCCGCCGCCTTATATTCAACTACAAATGAGCAAAATTGATATTTATAAATAATGATAATATATATTAGTTGATATTGATATATATATATATTGAAATGATAATATTAATTAATTGAGTTTATAATTGATTGATAATCATATTATTGAGTTTGAATACTGATTGTTATGTTATATTTTTTATTTATTGATAATGTTTTGTTTTGATTGATATGATAATTTGGATAAAAATTATTGATTGATTGAATTAATTGATGTGTAGAATTATGGAGCAATTATTTAAAAGTAAATTATCTACGGATAGTCCTTATTCATCTAATTGGGGTAGTTCAAGTGCAAGATCGATTGAGGTAGATGAGATATTGGCTATAATAGAACGTTTGTATTGATAACGAAACTATAATGCAACGTTTTCAAAAGATGAAAACTTGTTATGGACAATTGTAACTTGTATTGTTGATTTTGCTATGAATTATGAATGGAAATACTATATTTCAATTTTTAGTGTTATTTTCTTAATAAAAAATTTTGAAAATTTTACACTGTGAACTCTTGACACGAGAATTCTGGATCCGCCACTGGTGAAGGGTTTATGTGAATTTAGGTAAAGGTGAGATTTTGGAAGCGGCACTATGGGGGTTATTTTTTGGGCTTATGATGGCTGTGGCTAAGAGTGTTTCTCACCTTATTATTGAAGTAGACTCTGTCATTGTTGTCCAACTTATTCACTTGGATAGAATTGGAGGGTTCCATCCTCTTGCTGGTTTGATTGCTAGTTGCTGGGAGTTAAGAGCAATGCAAAGGGGGTTGTGGCAGTTACTATTCATATGAATAGTGACTGCCCTTGCAAAAAGCAATGTGTGTTTCCAACCGTTGCCATGGCAAAAGGTAAATATTATTCATTTTTTTGTTTTTCCACAATTTTGTTTACATAAACAATTAATTTGGATAATATTTTCGGATAAGATTTTTGGGTTTGTACGTGTCAATATTTATTATAAAATTCATATCTCATAATCAGATAAAATTTTCGGATAAGATTTTCAAGTTTCAAATATCAGATAAATTTCAAATTTCAAATTTTAGATGAAATTCAAAATTCAAATTTCTGATAAGATTTTCACCCTTTAAAATCGTGTCACGTATCATCTCTATCTGCCTAAATTTTTCTATAAAACAAGAGGCTCAACTCATACCTCTCACACCAGATCTTCTCTATATTTTCATTTCTCAAATTTTATATTTCATACTCCATTCTCAATATCAGACATGGAGAGGATCTTGGAGAGGCAAGAGCGAGAAACTATAAAAAGAAGGCGTAGACGAGCTGAAGGCAAAGGGTGCAGAGAGAACTAGATCAACAAGTTGTCATAGAAGTGGCTTTGCTTGATGAAGAAAACCAAGGCCGCCACCTTGGTTCACAAGTCGGTCGTGGCCCGAATGTGGACAGACATAGACATTCTCGAGGTAAGAATCTTCTGGAAGATTATTTTATCTCAACTTCTCTGTACTCTGATGTTGATTTTCGAAGGCGATATATAGAATGCAACCCCATTTGTTTAATAAAGTCATGCATGATATTTGAAATTATGATGAATATTTTGTTCAAAGTGTGATGCTGCTGGGTTTTCGGACTTCCTAAGCAAAAGCTTACAACTGTTATACGAATGCTGGTGTATGGTTTATCTAAAGATCAGGTGGATGAGATTGCCCGGATGGAGAAGTCCATTACTTTAGAGAGCTTGGTAAGATTTTGTGATGCAGTCGAAACTCTGTACACCAAGGACTACTTACGTAGACCTACCACAAGGACCTCCAACGGCTTCTACAAAAAGCCGAAACTCGAGGATTTTGAAGAATGATTAGTAGCATTGACTGCATGCACTGGCCATGGAAGAATTGCCTAACTGCTTGGCAAGGAGATTATGGAAATCGGAAAAGGCAAAATAGTATCATCCATGAAGCCGTTGTTGGATTTGATACATGGGTTTGGCTTGCATTTTTTGGAGTTGTCGGATCTCAAAACGACTAGAACGTGATGGGTCAATCCTTGATGTTCAACGATGTTTTGAGAGGTGAAGCCCCGAATATCACATATCAAATCAACAATACCGTCTGCCAGAATGGGTATTATCTAGCAGACGACATCTACATGAGGTGGACCACTTTAGTGAAATCAATTCCACATCCCCAATCCCAGAAGCAAAAATTATTTGATGCCTATCAAGAATGTTACATAAAAGATGTGAAGAGGTGTTTTGGTATCCTCCAAGCCTGATGGTCTATTATAAGGGGTGTGGCGCGTCTGTTTGATGAGGAGGTGCTGAGAAGTATAATGATGACTTGCATCATCCTCCATAACATGATTGTGGAGGATGAGTATGATTATGATGCTCCAGAGGTGTATGAACCGAATCCCATGAACACGGCCTTGACAAGAATTTATGAAAAACCATGGGGCCAAATGGAGAACCATTGGAGCATAAACCGTTGGTTAGGGACGGTCGTTTCATAACCCGTATGATTAATTGAAATACGGAGATGCAATCGTCTTATATTCATGATCGACGTCAAGTTGACTCTATGTAGCATTTATGGGCGGTGAAAGGCAATGACGGTGAATGAAGTGAAGTGAAGATGTTTTTATTATTATTATTTATTATTATGCTTAGGTTATGTTTTATTTTTAGTTATGCTTTGGTTTTTTTTTTTTTTTTTTTTATGTTTTTTGTGGTTTGTTTTTTAGTTATGCTTTCGTTGTGGTTTTTTATGTATGAAATGTTTTGAATAAAAAGGTATTTTATTGAATGCTTTCTTTATTCACTCAAAGAAAACCAATACAAGTAATTAAGAATTACTACTAATTAAATAAAATACATGAATTACAACTAATTCTTAAAACAAAACATTAAAATACAATGAAATAAAAGGCAATCAAACTAACTTAATGGTTTTGATTATTTAACCAATCCATGTTGCTAGGTCCATCGTCACAGAAAGTCTTCTTCTCATAGCATCCCTTCATTCTAGCTTCCAAAATTGTTTTGTTTCAGGGGACATATGGCTTATATCCATGGCCATGGTTTCCCAATCCTTCCTCTCTTTGTTTTCTTTGCGTACATACTCCTTTTTGTTTGTGCATATTCTACTTGAATTGCCCTCTCGTCTTCTTGGGCTTTCATGTCTATTTCAATTCCCATGGCACTTTGCATTGCAATTTCCTCCAAAAATTTAGATGTATTACTGCTAGAATTACTCTCTCTTTGCCTTCACCGCCTTTCTCCCAATAGGCATCGGCTCCTTTTGGATGGGAGAGTCTTAACTCATCCGGGAATCCAAAGGCAAATCCAATGCTGGTGAATCATGGAGTGGAGTCTCGTTCAACACAACGGTTGGATCCGTTGGAATAATTTAGAATCTCGAATAATTCTTCACCACCTCCCAACATTGGTCATGGTTGAAATTTTTTTGCCTTGTCCGGTATCACCAAACCACACTTGTGTTTGCATAATTTATTTAAAAAATATATATTGGAAATGCAAGACATATTAACAAAATATTGGAAATGCAAGAAATATTAACAAAATATTAGAAATACAAGACATATTAACAAAATATTAGAAATGCAAGAAATATTAAAAATGCAAGAAACATTTTATAAAAAAATAAATAGGACATTAAAATTAATAAAACAAAAATTACAAATAATTTAAGGCATACCCTTATCCCTTATCCCTGGGATGGGAGCACATCAGTCACGTGCAGTGAGAAATTCAAGGCATATCCCTTATCCTTGATTAGTTTATTGTTCTAATATTGGGTTTTTCTGGGTGTTCTTGTGCTTATGAATTTGCAACACGAAAGTGATTGTCTTTGTTGGTGTTGGATGTGTCGGGGTGGGGTGGGGCTGCTTGTGATAGGGTGAGACCGCCAAAGCCACAAGCTTCTTCTTTCTTTCTTTGCCCCTTTCCGCTCTAAATCTAATCTACTGCTAAAATCCAGTTAGACAGCTTATTAGACTTGGTAAAAAAAAAGAAAAGAAGAAGGAATATTTACATTATGCCCCATCTATTAACACGCTCCGGGAAAAATTCAGTGGATACCAGAAAACTTGGGTTTTTTTTCTTTTTTCTTTCACACTTCTGTTTTGCTTTTCGTTTTTATTATTCAATTTTGTATTTCTGGTTTGTTTTCATTTTCATTATGCAATTTTGTTTTCCAAATGCCTTGTCTCACAAACTTGTTCTCAGAATGAAATTATTATTTGCAGGGTGATGATTACTACAAGTGGACTTGATGCCAGTAGTTGCTCATGCACATGAATACATTTGACAATCCTTTGTATATATATATTGGAGGACTAACAAGTTACAAGAGCATGACCAACATCTTATTTGCTCTTCAGCCAGTCATATAAATGCATTACAAGTAAAGAGAGAACCCCAACAGTTGTTCTTTTAAAATTATATATTTAAAAAAAAATACCTCCACAAATATAATGTAATAATTATATAATAATTAAAACAGAGTAAGCTGAAGTTGATATTTACGAATTTAATTAGTAATCTATTTGCGGGGGTGAGTGTTTTCTGGATGGGAAAATCCGGTGACAACTTTGGCAACGTCTAAAGCAGATGCCTCCGGCTTCTTCTTGGTGTATAAGGTGAAATAACCAATGGTGACAATTATGGCAAAGCCACCAAGAGCCATTCTCATTGGGCAGAAAGACACCTTTGACGTCTGATGAAGTACCTCCGTTGAATGCTGCGCCGGTGACGGACCCTTCATCCCCTGTGCGCCTGCAGCAGCCTTCACTTGTTGTGGTCCTGCCATTGCTTTGAATTCTCTCTAGCTTGAGTTTGCCTCTTGCAAAGTAAAACTATGTCCCTTGCTTTCTCTGTCTCTATGTTTATCCGGATGTATGTCTTTTTCTTTTGCAGGAGTGTGTCTGTGTGTTGAAGTGGTTATGAACGCTTGTGGGCAGAATAAAGTGGGGGATATATGAGGTTGCTGAAAGAAATAGAATGCATACAAGTGTGAGAAGATATGGCGTTAACCCATTAGGACTTTTTCCATGCAGCAGTAATAGGATCGCTCTATGCATGTGGCCTTAATTACCCCATAACCACTTTTTAAGGGTCAACAAGTTGGCCTCAAAGGGGCAATGCGGCTTATCCGCATTCTCAGTTAGGTGCATTTTCCTAGCTTTTGAAGCACCTCACCTATCAATTCATGTGGAAGAATCAAGGTCAATAGATCAAGTGAACAGATAGTCCAATCCAAATGGTGTCCATGCCAACCTCTTGCGGTCTCATTTGTCATGTTGTTGTTTGGGGCTTTGGCCCCTTCATCATCAAAAAAGTATTTACATCTTAATCTAAAGCTTGGTTGTTTGGGTGATTAGACTAGTTTGGCCTTTCTTTTATTCAAATTCCCCATTAACGTCCATGAAGAATGTCAGCTTAATTTCCTCCAAACTCTTATTCAACATTTGTAATTCTGTTCCATTATATGTATTCTTTGTCGAACTTTCCATTATATTCTCTAGACGAACCAAAACTAAGATTCTAAGAAGAAGAAGAAAATTAGGTACTAGATGTGAGAAATATGATAATAATCACTTTCTTTAATTTGGTTTGCCAACCATGTATGAAAATTTCATGAAATAGGGCAAGATTTGGATTCTTTAAATCATGCATGCCAACACGATTGATATGATACAAAATTGTATTGGTATGACTGATCTATGAGAGACTCACAAACAATCGCATGATTTGGGTTCATTAGTATAATGCTACTGCAATTGGGGACTTTTTTTTTCTTTTTTTTAATTTACAATACAATTGGCAATTGGCATAGTCGTAAGTTATGTATTTCATGAGAAAACTGTTTGACTTCTATAAGGGAAGGGAAAAGTAAAAGATAAATTAGTGGACTATATATATGTGCATTGTTGAAACCTTCCACATATACAACAAATCCTAAAACTTCTCATCTCAAATATGTGAAACTGTAATTTCGTTTGTCATATTTGAGCTTTCCATAATTTCTTGAATAACAAGGGCTATAAATTTTAAAATTCTTTGACATACGCTTTTCTTTTGAATAAAAATGTAAATATGTATCCCTCAATTGAAAATTGAAATAAGAATGTCAACATGCTCTAGCCCAGGACCTTGATTTGTAGACAAGTGGTCTCAGGTTCGAACTCCAATAACACCCTAGAGCACTTCCACAGCAGAACTTAGCCCTGGCAAACCCTCTCATGTGAATAGTAATTGCTCTTGGATTACCATGATAATGGGTGAAAAAGCAAACAAAAACATTGCTAGGACATGCACTATTCACGTGATGCTTGTCCTTACTTGCTCTTGCCCTTTGTCATGGCACGATGGGTGGAAGTGGTCTTAATAGTGTGAGAAATCCCCCTCTCGATTCTAGTTTAGACTATCACTTGTATTCAAAAGAAAATTGGAATGAAAATAAAAATTAATACTGAATCAATGAGAATCTTTTATTAATCTCAAATGAAATATTGAAAAATTGCACTGTGCACATCTGTCATTATTACCAAAGAAAACGACTTTAATTTCATGTATTGCTATCACTATTGTTTCTTGTTGTAATATTGCCGTTGGTATTATTGTTTGAATGAACATTGCCAACGACAGAGGTGATGGCTGCTACCAGAGCCGCTGTGAAGTTAGGGTCAGCTGTGATGGCCGCTGTTGCTGCATTGACTTTGTCAGCCAATGAGTGTGTAGCGCTATCCAATCCCTGAAAGCTATCGAGAACCGAGAATTTCGATTGGCTGGAAAGGGCTTGACCTAGAATTTGTGGCACAGACATCATGTTTTGAGGAAAACTTGGAGGCAGCTGGTTTGGCTGGCCAAGTGGCATCTCTGAGGAAGTTGGAGTTCGAGTGAGGTCCAATGTGACAGTGGGAAATGGGGGCTGAAGCTGAGAGTGTTGCCAAACTTGGTGGGCAGTTTGGTAGGGCACTTCTTGCCAGGAAGCTGTTTGAGCTTATTAGGCCATCAGCACTAGGCATTGAGCCTGATAGTAGCATTGATGCTGCTGCTGATGTTGTAGACGCCATTGCCATTGCCGCAGGAGGGAGTGGATGGTTGTGGTGGCCTTCGTAGGTCGTTACGAGTATCGTTCGGTCTTCTGCACATCTTTGTACCTGTCAATTACGATTCCAATTAGGTCCAGTTATTAACATGTTATGCTGTCAGACTGTTAATCTAAAAACAAGAAAGAGGTATGTACTTGTTAACCTAAAAACAAGAAAGAGATTATGTACCTGTTTGCGAACTGGGCAACCAGTTCCCATGGTACAACGATAATAGGCTCGAGGGCATGGGTTTCCTTTAGCCATTTTCTGACCATACTTTCTCCATTGGCATCCATCAGATATCTGCAAGAGAATTTGATATTAGGATGATGAAATCCATATTTCTCTGTCGTTGAATTATACTCCAACAGAAGCATGTGCGTTTTAATTTCCTATTTTCTGTTTGAAATGATCAGAAAAGAACTTGCTTCTGAATATATATGTACTGCATAATTCGTCCACACCCATCTCATTAAGAAGACATTTCTTTCAGAGTTTTCCAATTAATGTTATAATACGTTTACTAATATTGAAGATTGTAATCTGTATCACACATTCAGATGAGAATCAACATCATCGATCAATGGTCTATGTATACAGTTTGACAAACAAATCTCAACTATAGGATAGTTTCTTACCATGGACGCTTCAGATCGTGCCCGAACGGAAACGCGGGCTTTCTTAATCATGGACATGGTTTCTGATGAGGCTTGATCCACGTCCCTGGGACTCATCATCTTAGACACTTTCTTAGGAACCCACCCTTGAAACTCTTGGTCAGGGCTGTCTTCTCCCCCATTAGTAGTACTAATTCTTCCGCTAAGATCCCTGTGAAGTACATGACTAGTACTCTTGCAGCACTCCATTGACTCAACGATGTCATTTCGTGGAGACGACCCGGAACAATCTTGGGATCTGCAGCCTTCCAAAGAACACTGTGAAAGCTCATCTTTCTCAGCCCTGCCCATATCCATAAATTGCCTTGGAACAATATGGTTGAACCCGTTCATCATCTGCTTCTCTTCTACCACGACTGATCCATTATTGATCATCTAAAGCAAACCCATGAAGTTGCGGATATTAGTGAAATTAAAGAAATATATATTATGTAGTCAAGGAATCAGATTAATATATATATACCTTGTGTTGTTCTGGAGTTTGATGATCAACCTTTTGATTTTGCAGTGTCACAATTTGCACCTGCAATGCCTGGTAATTGTTGTTCACCTGGCTAATCATAACTCTCAATCGCTGATTTTCTACATTCATACGGCCTAATTCAGCCTGAAGAACTGCCAACTGCATGAAAACCCAAAATTAATTTCTTACATGAATATATATTAATTCATCTATATTAATGAACCAACAAAATTAATAGAAATTCAAGCTCCTATAGTTTGTAATTATTTTAAACCACTAGTCCCAGAAAGAAAAAAAAGCAAAAAACTGTCCAAATATTCCATTTATATATACGTGCCTACCTCATTTGTTCTATGCTTGTCTTCCATATTATGGGACGATGAAGTTCCATCATCCATGGATGATTTGTCGCTACTGGTGTATGTTGTGAGAAGATTTAAACCAGTCTATAATAATCAAAACCATGACAAAAAAGAAAAACAATTAGCACTAATTCAGGTGGTGTAAGAAATTCAAAGCAAAAAAAAAGAAAGACTCGGTAAATATATTGGACGAACTATACGACTAGAACTTTTCATACATTTACGTCTGGTAGTTGCTTTTCTTGACCAACGCCGTGATGATCATGTGCGCCTTCTTCTTTAACCTCAACCGTCTGATCTCGCATTTCCATCAGACGACCCTTGTTATCAGCAAAGAAGTCCAACTCATCAACAATCCGCTTCCCGTGATGATCGTGACCAACGGCTGTTTCCGGAGAAAGTAGAGGCTGCTCGATTGATCTGCAGTTGTGAATCGAATGATCACTAGCTGCAGATTCCATGGTTTGTGTAAGAAATGAATGAAATGGTGTTAAGATCCATGACAAGCTATGAACTTCAGGTTCATATCAACATATATTCGAAGCTTTAGGTTCAAATATGTAGATTTAATTAAATTGAATTAATAGTTGTATTTTGAACTTCATATTCAAATCAATGTATATGCATTTGAAACTTCTGGTTTGGGTTCTTGACATATGTAAGCCTCATGGAATTGATTTTGATTAATACAAAATGAAAGAGTTTCATGTCCTTATGTGCTTTTTAAATTTTTAGAACTTCACGCCCTCAATTGTTTGGAATCAAAGAACTTCAGGTTATGATTCAATCAAAAGGACTCCAACTCCTAATCTAGTTATATGATGAGGCTCGAGGAACTTTAGGCCCTGATCTTTTGTATAAATCAAACTCATCATAAGAAGCTATAATTAATTAAGATCATGCTTAAAATTAAATAAACAAACAAATAAATAAAACATGACATTATATTCATGTGTAATAAGAATAAGAAACTTTTTTTGTTCTTGAACGAGTATCGTGCTAATAACGTGTTATAAAACTAGGGGAAATTGTATAGAGAAATAAGAGGAAGAGAAAGACAATAGAATTTGTTCTATAAACTTGTATCATTCATCCTTGATAATCACCTATTTATAGGCTTACAACTATAGGAAATTAACTCATAAATTGTAGGTTAAAGATACTAATTACAATAGTAATACAATAGGTTACAAACCATTAAAACCTGGAGGTAG